GAAAGAGTGGAGAAAAGGAGGAGTGGAATAAGGAGGGGATGGTTGGAGGAGGAAGTGAAAGTTATAGGGGAGGGAAAGAAGACCTTCAGAGACTGGAAGCAGATCTGGGGTCCCCAAGCTGGGGCTCTTTCCACACAGCTCCTGGAGGTCAGCTCCCCTCACCCCAATGCCTCAGCGTGAGGGCAGAAGAGTAACCAGATCCCTGCTGTATCCACTGGGCCCCACCTCCCCAATATCTCCCTGTTGGCTGTAAACACAGCTGCTGCATGTCCTCTCTCTGTATAGTGTCAACATGCCCTGGCTGACCCTTGCCACACGCATCGCTCCCACAGACATCCAGCTGCCGCTGTGCAGAGTAGCCAGGCCGTTGGCACCCGGCCCCAAACCCATCCACATCTGCTTGGGACCATCTCCCACCCAGGGCAGAGCTCTGAAAAGGGAGGAAGTATGGGCAGGGGCATGGGTCAAATGACCAGGGACGGCCCCTCCTTCTACACACCCCCAGACCCACCTTGCCCTGGACCTCACTCCTCAGGAGAAGCTGACTTGTTCACCTTGGCCCCGTGCCTGGCAATGATCTGGGCACTAGGCCTAGACAGGACAGCAGGCTGGGGAGCAGCAGCCCTGATAGACAAGGTCACTGCTTGGTCCTGAGCTCTGACACCCCTGACTAGGCACTGTGGGAGGTGAGGAGTCACAGAGAGGGGCCACGGTCCCTATCTTCAATAGCCCCTGTCTGCGGAAAACAGAGTCGGCAACCCGTGTCATCTGAGCTGGAGGGATTTGGGTGCAGACTAAAGAGTGTTAGCCCAGGAGGAGGGGGTGGAGCCAGGACCAAGGAGGCGTGGGTAAGGTCTAATGCAGCACTCTGCCCACAGTGTGCCCCTGTCCCCGTGGGCTGGCCTGCACAGTTAGGGGTGAGTGCTGCCACACTGAATGCCTGGGAGGCTGCAGCCGGCCAGAAGACCCCCATGCCTGTATCGCCTGCCGCCACCTCTACTTCCAGGGTGCCTGCCACAGGGCGTGCCCTCCAGGCACCTACCAGCATGAGTCCTGGCGCTGCGTCACGGCCGAGCACTGTGCCAGCCTGCGCTCTGTGCCTGGCCGCGCCTCCACCTTTGGCATCCACCAAGGTAGTTGCCTGGCCCAGTGCCCTCCAGGCTTCACCCGTAATGACAGCAGGTGAGTGTCGGGTGGGCAGGGGGGGCACCCTTGGAGCAGTGAGGAGGCCCACACTGGTCCAGGGCTCATGCCACATCCTCTGCTTGCCCCTACTAGCATATTCTGCCACAAATGCGAGGGGCTATGCCCCAAAGAGTGCAAAGTGGGCACCAAGACCATCGACTCTGTCCAGGCAGCACAGGATCTGGTGGGCTGCACCCACGTGGAAGGGAGCCTCATCCTCAATCTTCGTCAAGGCTGTTAGTGCCTTCCTCGGGACCATACCTCTCCTCCTGGCCACACCCCTTACAATGATCCAGCTAAAGCACCACTTTCCACCATCCCGGGTCCCAGCCCTGAGGGCCCCCTTCCCTTGGCCCCCATTCAGCTCCCCCTTCCCAATGGAACCATCACTTTCCTTGCCCCTGCTCCAACCCTGTCTTCCCCATTCCCAGATAACCTGGAGCTGGAGCTGCAGCGCAGCCTGGGACTGGTAGAGACCATCACTGGCTTCCTCAAAATCAAGCACTCCTTTGCCCTCGTGTCCCTAGGCTTTTTCAAGAACCTCAAACTAATCCGGGGGGACACCATGGTGGATGGGTAAGGGGTCAGAAATAGTTCCCTCTATCTCATCTCCTCCCCAACACTCCCAAAACTGTGGTGAAGAGTATGGGAACCAGCTCTGCTACTTACTAGCTGTGTGACTCTGGGTAGGTTACTTAACTTCTCTGGTCCTCAACTTTCTCATCTGTGAAATGGGGTTAATACAACTCTACTTATTTCTTAGGGCTGTTGTGAATATTACTTAAGTTGTTGTGTATAAAGCACTTAAAACAGAGCGTGAAACAAAGTATATATTACTACATAAAATTATAGTTACATATAACTCTATATATATTGGCTATAATTGTTATCATCTGATCCTCTTAGCTGCAGAGCAAGACTGCCTGGGTTTGAAACCCAGTCCTACCTTTACCAGTCAAGGTCTACCCTTAATGTAGCCAGGATTTTTCAAGATAATGTTTTAAATTACCATCCAGCCAAGTGGTTTCTCATGTACCCCCAGGGGTGCCCCTGCTCCAGCTGGAGAGGCATAGCCCCAGGCTGAGTCCCTGTGTCCCCAAAGCCAGGACAGAGCCTGGCACGTAGCAGGTGCTCAGTTAATGTGAGATGAGGGAAGGAGGGAGGCAGAAAAACAGTTGACCCCATTTCACTGATGAGGAAAACACAGAGTGTGGGTGACTTGCCGGACCTCACATTTCTGGTCAGTGGCACCGAGTGGGTGTGTACGAATGCCCCGTGTGTACTCGTGTGGCTGGGCTGCTGTGTGCCGCTCCTTCCCTGTGCCCCCAGTGCAGCCCCTTCAGGAAGAACCCATAAGACACCCGCTTCCTCACCCCTTGCCCCCACTGGCCGTGCAGAGCAAGGTTCCCTGGCCTCCCCCAGGAACTACACTCTGTACGTGCTGGACAACCAGAACCTGCAGCAGCTGGGCTCCTGGGTGGCTGCGGGGCTCACCATTCCCGTGGGCAAGATATACTTTGCCTTCAACCCACGCCTCTGCTTGGAACACATCTACCGCTTGGAGGAGGTGACTGGCACGAAGGGACGGCAGAACAAGGCAGAGATCAACCCCCGCACCAACGGAGACCGAGCTGCCTGTGAGGCCCAACCCCTGGCACCCTGGCAGTGAGAGATGTGACCCCAAGGAACACCCAGACGCGCGCACACGCTGACTTTCGCACACGCTGACTTTCTCACACACTGACTTTCACACACACTGAAATACACCAGACATGCTCCCGGGTGGAAGGGGAGGCTTGAAGGGGACAATGTGATAATTTCTCTTCAGAGGCCACGTTGGGGGTGGGATGCTGCGGCGTCAGGGTGGGGGTTGGGAGTAGGCGGCTCAAGCAGGTGCTCTCAACACGGTCAAGAGCAAGTGTTCGCCCTTCAACCTGAACAGGCCAGACACGCACCCTGCGCTTCGTGTCCAACGTGACGGAGGCCGACCGTATCTTGCTGCGCTGGGAGCGCTTCGAGCCGCTGGAGGCTCGCGACCTACTCAGCTTCATCGTGTACTACAAGGAG